CCAAGGGACATTATTGCAGAGCTCTGATATACAATTTATCAGCATCTAGATGTATTGCTTCAGGAAACTTTCGATGCTTGTAGACTATAAAATGCATTAAAATTATACTAGGGGATTCTAGGAAATAGTACCAAGGGATTCTTCTCAATTGTCCACAAATTCTCTTTCAGAAAGCCTCTGTTGGAGTTTTTTCATGCACTCACCTTCGCTCCCTTTCTCTTTGCTATCGCTGCGCTTCCTACGACAAAGAGAAGATAGGAGATAGACAAAGCGATCCTGTTGATCGGTATTCGTCCATCTCAAAAAAAAACTTTTATTGCTAATTGCATAAATACACATGTAAGAGAATCCAAGTTGGAACTTGCATTGCGTAATGAAACACACCTATGCGCTTCGTCTTCAAATATTGAAATAACGCAGCTGAGTAGAACTGATCTCACTTGAGGCGCCACCTTTTCTGATCTGTGCTCTTGCTCGAAAAGAACGTTGCAGTGACGTAAGATCTAGAGCGATCACTATGAGACATGCGTGACAGTTTGTAGAGACTGAGAATGAAAAAAAGATACGTTCAGCACTCCCGGCACTATCAACTTATTGTCCAGCGTTTGCATTAGCAGTCGAAGTAATGTTGGCAGAGGATTTATGAGAAGATAAAAGGAAAGCTGCAAAGCGAAACAAGAATCGATTGGATTTCAGTATGGAAGAAGAACGAGGTAGTAATGATTACCTTGTCCCGAACTTTTCTAAACTTCTGAAAATTATTTTGAATTTCGACGTGATCACCTATCCCGTTCACACATTCCGTGACATCAGTGTCGAAAGTCTGAAACTAACCATATATGAGCACCAGTCTTCGGAACAAATTTTCAACAAATACTCACTTTCAAGTGTTCGCCAAGTAGGGGCAGTTTTCCATATTTAACATGCCATGCTTCATAAAACTCCTTCATCACTGGACGCTGTAAAAAGCATTAACCTTTCCTGCAGACCTTACCAGATGCCATTACGAGACTCAAGTAAGATAAGGTACCTTCACTTCTTCCGAAAGAGAACAGAATAAGTTTTCGAACATAGCAAAAAATGCTGCAACGGTATTCGGAGGAGAGGCAACAACAGAATCCATAATTGACACTATTCTTAAGTAGGTGAATTAGATATAACACCCTTCACTCGATTTAGAAAACTTGACTGTACTGCATACCGAGCGATTAACTCGACAAATTTATCAACATCGCAAGCTTTCTCGTCCACCACAATCTTACTCAACTCTTGCATTGTCGAAACGTCAACATTTCCAGCTGAAATGCTATCCAGTACCTGAATCACGACTCATTACTGACTTGTTAGCTGAATTAGAAGAATAGCAGAATTTTAGTACTCCACTCACATCGCCTATCCGCCGTATAAAATCGTTGTTATCATCAGTAGATTCACACGGAACGTCAATACCATTGCGATTGCTGATAGAAAGATCCTTCAAAAAGTAAGGCAACTGTTTCACAGAGTGATTTTTTGCACAGCAGTAGACTCCTGCTCCTAAATAATGCTACTTGATGTGAGGATTAGCACCTAATTAAGTTTATTTTAATAAACATACCTTGTCCACGAGACGAAGAAAGTCGCCAGGTAAAATTTTTCGTGATTTCTGCTCTATACCTGAAAATGATTGTAAGATTAGGGATTAGGTCGGCTCATGACTTTTCATATCTTCCGCAGCTCCGTTTTGAATTTCATCCATAAAATCCAGTTTCCCCGTAAATTACTACAACCAGACACAATTCGAAGTGCATGACTGTGCTTCTACACTGCGAGGAGGCCTGTGGAAACTAACGATAAGAGAATTGGACGTTTGATACAACCGCGTACCAGTTTCACAGAGCAGGAGAATAGTTTTATCCAACATTTCACCAAGAGATGCTAGCTCTTCTGTCTTCAAGTAAATCCGGAATGACCCTCAGTTGATAGACTTCCCAGAAAAGTCTTATTTGTCCCGAATTAAATATGACGTATCCCTTGTGCGTGCCTGAAATACGATAGAAATAACAATTTTGATAATTTCCACAAGAACTTTTTGCAGTCACGTATTTTACCTCAGACTAATTGGTGACCTCAGATAGCTATGAAGGTTGAGTTAGATCATGAATGATGTATTCGTTGCAAGGCTTTCTAACCTCTTCCCTTCTCCGGTACGCCAACGGCCAATAAAATTTCAACGGAACATGTCATCTCTTCGGAGCAAAAGGATGTCACCCAATCTTCTCAACGCACTACGCATGATCCTTTCGCTCTAATTATATCACTTCTCGGCATTTTACAAGTGGTGGGGCATGAGATCAGTCGTAATGGGACGAAATCTAATAATAAGCTCCCTGTAATCCACAGGTTGCGAATTTATATTTGGAAAACGAACTGCAGTGAGCGGCGTTCTTCGAAGGGGGGGGGGGGCATGCGTCCTAAGTGGGCGACATTTTTTTTACCGGGGGGTGATCCCCATTCATAACTCGTATCAGGAGAAGACCAGAGACTGATAAAAAGGGATAGGAAATATCAAGAGGAGAGATCAAATGCTAACGGTGTGAGGAGTTGCACAAAGATGGATGAGGGTTTTCACGGAATCAATGGTTGCGTCCGCGACGGCCCGTAAACAGGGAAGAAAGAAGTGAGAGTTTGGCGAAGAAATGAAGGATAATCCAATATTGAGCGGGAGTGCATCGAAGTTTCTGGACTGCATTATAAGGTTAGTGGGAACGGCTTCTCACTGACATAATAAGTTGGTTCAGAAAAGGCCTGGAGACAGAGATAACGAGCAGTCGAACGTAGGAGGGAAAGCCAAATGGTGCAAGAGGAAAGCATGCGTGGGGCTGAGCTAGAAATGAAACCGCACAATTCGATCCTAGAACGCCCGAAGATTGCTGCGTTTAATATGTATATGCTATAGCATGCGCGCGCCAAATTGGCCACGTTTTACTATCGACGAGAAGGAGCCGAATAGGGAAAGCAAATTCCTGAAGCGTGGACAGACATTACCGTCGAGATGCACAGGGCAAACAATTCCCCGGCTGGACGCTGCAACGAAGGCAAGCATTTAAGATGTTTAGAGCGGGGTACAATAGATGCTGAAATTTGAAACAAGGTAGGTGCTCCGGGCAATACCTAATACGATCTACCTCACCCTCACGCATATGAGGTAGGCTCGTAGAATGGGTGAGGGTGAATGATATACTGCAAATGGAAATTGGATCCACACAATGAGTTACCGGAGAGTAAGAGAAGGGTAGAGAGGAAACCAACGGATCGCCACTGCTTCCCTATCTTCTTCAGACAAGCCAACCAAGAGTTCGGTGAGATTTTAACGCTTTACGTTGGACTCTGGTATTGAACGATACAAAATAATTTCACAACAGGGACGCTGTTGCTATATCAAGATCCTGGTCAATACATCGAAAAAGACTAGAAAAAAACTACCAATGTTCGAGCAAAAAAAAAGATGTTCACTACAGGGAGCAAAGCAAGAGCAAAACCAATTCTTCAGAAAAAAATGAAAAAGGATAAGTCCTCACCTGTCCCCGGCAAGGAATGGCTCCAAAGCGGAGATAGCGGCGGCTGCAAAGCTTTCTTGCAACATTCCGACATCTATATTGATATTCAGAATGGGACATCGCTGACAAACACACATCTAAAAAGCGGAAATCATTACTCTTTTTCGACTTTGGTAACTTTCATGCACTTCGTCAACAAATCGCAGACTAACAATAAGTGTAGAAGGGCCCATCATTCGAGTTTCTTAGGATATGCTTGTAAGACTGCACACTCTACCTCTGTATCATCACTTTAAAGGGCTGAGTTCAAGTAGTCCGTCGACCCGAGCTACCTGAGCGGAATGTATCTGCCACCATCTACCTCTAATACAGCAGACAAGTTCTCCCACATATACATCAGCTTAAGATTAGTGTCTCTGAGAAGCAAAGCGCTCCGGTAAGGGAAACAATGAACGTTTATGGATGAGAGTAAATTTTCGATCGCGACCATGCGAACAAAATCACAAGTCGATGCGCCGTTTCCATCACTCAAGTAAACGAGACTAGTTAGCACAGAATCAGCTCTCTCACATCCAGCCATTTCATACGTTTCACCGTTATAAATGTTACCGAGAGCGATGCATGCAAAAGAGAAAAGTAGTGTCAACAAAATAGAATATATGCAAAATCGTTTGACAATGACCGTTCTTTTTAAAATATGCCTCCACTCGACATGCATTCAAAAATACAATGATTTTAGGAAGAGATTAACAAAATAAGACAATTTCTAAGGGCCAAACGATGTGGTGGCCAGTTTTCGCTTCTTCTCAACAAGTCTTAGGAACTGAGAGGAGGCAAAAATATCGCTCCTCAATCGGTCGTAACTTCCTCTGGTTATGCAGTTTTGCGAAAAGGCGAACCAAATTGATTTAAGAGATTTTCTGTTTCCTAGATTCTACTGAACGAGTTATCCTGTAGGCTGAAAAGTTTTCTTTGCTATGAGGTAAGTAGTTTTGTGCCAATCTATAATATGAACTGGAAAGCTCAAACTCTAAAAGTGCCAAAAGTATCAGGACTAGTTTGGAAACTAAACTTCTTAACCTTTGCTTCGTGTAAATATGTGAGCAGTTCTGGAATTCACGAAACTTCTGCTTTCGAAAAGGATATTTCTAGGGGTCGCAACATGAAAATGAAAATTGTTGGAAGACATTGGACCATTTTTCCCGATCCAGAATTCTGAGATGCTTCTAAAATACTTCCATTTCGCGACAAACAAGATATGACATCGTTACTACTGATGACTTCTATTATAGGACGCACCATTCACTTGGCTCTCAGTAGGTGGTATTTGAGCTTGTAACCCCTTTGACGACCGCCGTTGTGCATGCGTCACTTCACTTCTTTTTAAATTTTTTCATCAATAATCATTAACTCTCCAACAATTTCATTATTAGTAATTAGCGCATTATTACGCGAATTCGATAATGTATATGTGTAGTTTTGTAACATAAAAAGGTGCTAACTTAGTTGGGGGGGGACCACGCGGCGGCGCGGCAGTCTGCTCACCTGGGCTCTCTCGAGCGAGACAGTGTAAACTCGAACATTCCAGCTTTTCACGCATGTCAAGTGACTGCCCCCACCCCCACCCCCCTAGACTGCCTACACTCCCCCTGGCCCACGGATTTCCGAACATGCCAGGCGAGCAGACTGCCGCGCCGCCGCGTGGCCCCCCCCAACTAAGTTAGCACCCATAAGAATGCCAAAGTAAGCCACAAAAAACCAAGCGCAACCGAACGTCAGTGTGGCCCAGTGGCCAACCACACGGTCGCCAAAGAGTTAATTTATACAACGGCTTCTGAAGGCCAACCAGGCTGGAAGTTCTATTGCAGAAGACAAAGCAATTACGGTACTATTCTTGAAAAATTGACCTTGGTGCAATAATCGTGTGAGCGCCATTCCTCTTCGCCAAACAAAACAGTTGACTAACCTTTCAAACTTTGTGAGGCCTAAATGAGTCAGTTAGAGACTGGTAGGTGGAGTGAAAGAGATCTTTGCCATAAGAGAGAGTAGCCTCAAATTCTTCCAGCTGAAAACAGAAGAAGGTTAGACCCTAGAAAAGATGTTGCTTTTACGTTAACAGCAATCATATGGAAACAAACCTTCCGCAGACTTTCCATGGCAGTGTCGTGTTTATTCGGGGGAGTTGCGGTGCCCTTCGAAGGTTTCATTTCTAATGAGGAAGCGCTCTGCAACAAAAGATCGATTGAAGGCAGAATAAAACGCAGGCGTGGCCTCGCTAACACATTGGACGGATGTGCGCATCTTGGCATGATATTCATTGATTCATGCATAATCAGCTTACGATAGGGATAAAGCAGCTGCAGTTATACGCCATTCTAATGTGGCCATGAAATCAGAGTTGAATGAGCCAACTTGTCAGAATCGCAAAAAAGCGTCTATCAGAGAGAAATGGTTGTCTCTGAAGAACAAAGCAAGAGCTATTCGGTAAGAGGACCTGTGCCTGTGATTGATGACCCTAGCGGCAGCGTTATATGACATGTATGAGCGTTCAGAACATGTGGCAACGACTGTCTGTTACCTGTAGTGATGTCGAGGAAAACACCTTGTCGAAGCAAGGCTTGAACCTCAAGAAAAAGCGAATTCAGCGCTCATACCGTTGTGGCGAGGGGGGGGGGAGAAAGACAGAGCGAGTAATCCATTAGAGTACTTGGGACCAAGTCCCGAGTATGGAAGAGGATTCTGGAGGAGGGGTGGACAAAATCTTCTCGCTGGGGCTTCCCCGCTCTCCAGGGCTAAGTCCTAATGTAACCTACCGTTGGTCCTGTTTTGAATGCTCCCCCCCCTGCGAGGTGAGAGCGCAGTGAGTTTTATCTGAATTCACGGTTCCCGTTGCTCCATAACTTACATAAAGGAGACACCCATGAAACCTATTCAAAGCACAGAAAGAAAAAGACGTCTCCTCTAGTGTGGACATGCAACTTGCGTACACCACACAATATTAGGCGTCAGACAACAAATAAAAACATTGAGGTTGGCGTGGTGAGGCGGGTCTCACCTTCGGCAAAGCTTCTGATTCAAATAGTTTTGCATCTAATCATGACTAGGATGCTGTAGAGTGGAAACAGGCGTCTAATCATATCCGCTTGTGATGGGATAGTCTTGTAATACGGTTCCATTTTCTGAAGTATTTTTCCGCAGTTTGAATTTTGCATTTAGAAGCCTGTTACGAACATCATAGAGGACGTCCCAGCAGCAGTGGGGCTTTGGTCCAACAACTGATGTGGAGGGCGGGTCGGGAACATCTTTGGTGGGGACAGAATGTGATAAGGGCTGATAATGACGATATACGTAAGAACATAGGGATTGCTAAAAACCAAATACTAGATAAACCAAACTTATTTCATTTCTACTTCATCGCGTTTCATCGTCTTGAACTCCATTTG